TTCATGACCATAGTCACCACAACCGCACCCGAAAAATTACATTGATTCTCATTTCAAGAAAAGGGTTAGGGTTTTTCTTAATCGACGAGAACCGATCGATGGAGGAGGAAAGGCAGAGTCTTCACCGGGAAACGTTAAGTTTTGCTGAGAAAGTGAGGAGCAAGTTGGATCCTTCAGATTTTAAATACAATTTTCTAGAACAGTGGCGTTATTTTTTCATCGGGAAGATCGACAGAACTGAAATGGAGGAGAGGGTTATTCGTACGATTGGCCAGTTTCCTGATCTTGTGAAAATGTTCGGTGATCTCTTGAAGGAAATAGAAGAATCTGTAATGATTTCTAAGCAAGAAAAGAAGTAAGTGTTTGTGTCAGAATTGAAACCTCTTGAGGTACTGTTTTCTGCGACTTATTTCGTCTTGGTGGATGTGATGGATGATATTGGTTTGTGCTTTGTAGACTTCAAAGACGGAAATATGTTAAATCTATGTTAAATCTTGATTATTACTGACGTAGAAGAAAATGCTGCAGAATGGTTTGCTTGGAATTTTCTTTTCAAAAGATCATAAATCCACTGCATACAAAAATGAGAATCATGTTTTGTCAATAAACTGCTGACTGATTTATTATGATTTCTAAACTTTTCCCAAACATTTCCATACATTTTTTTGGTAACTGCAATAGGCACTACAAGCATCTTTCAGTAGGCAATTCAATCATTGGACCTAAAGTGATAGAGGTGAATGAGTTGGGAAACAGAATACTATGTTTAACACAAATTTTCTCTCACAATTCGATGTGATAACTTGCGATTGATCAACTCACAAATAAGCAGACGAAACTTATAATGAGCAAGTAAAATTTATTTGCAAACTAATCAATCACGAGTTATCATGTCGAAATTATGAGAAAAGTTTATGAGAGGAGATTGTAAGTATAATAATACTCGAAAAATCAAGAATACTATATATGTGGGTCGAGAAAGTAGTTCTTATGTGCAACTGAGAAAGTCTTATGTACAAAGAAGTAGTCAATGAAGGTGAGTTACATTAGGTCAATGTGTATGACATCATATTTACTCTTCATATCAGTTACACAAAGGTTTTGTCTCTATCTGAGAAAGTGAAGCAGAGGAATCTGGTTATTGAGATTTGGGTTTTGAGGGTTAGTTCCAAAATATGTATACTCCAAATCATTGTCAATAGTTTTGTCTATTAACTGAACCCTTTTTATTTGGCCCATAGAATTGAACCTATGATTAGTTAGTAACTTATATTTTCCCTCGGACATGCAGTTAAAACTGGGTAAATTTTCTCACTAACCATCCTTATTAATATTCTAAGTGAATCTAATTCAAAACTAAAAATCTTAATTGATCGTTGAATTATCCAATAGTGTTATATTTTGAAATAGTATTATGGCTGATTTTCTTGGGAAATCTAATGACTATTTACTCGTTATTTCAAAGAATTTATGAGTACTGTTGAAACATATATCATCATTCTCGCTCTTCCAACCTTGGAAGAAAATTAGTTTAATTCTGAGTTTATTATGGGAGTGCATAGTAAATATAAATATAATTAACTAGAAATACATAGTTTGCATTGAAGTCACAACAGTAAATTGACCTTAAATTTCTCCATCCCAGATCTCTTCAATGGACTTGTAAGGACCCTTCTCTGACACAAATGGCTGAATGATGTTCCCTCTCATCTGTGGAATTTGTTCTATTTTCTGACGTTCTTCAGCACTTAACTGCCACTCAAATATCTCAAGGTTTTCTTTCATTCTTTCTCTGTCAAAGCTCTTCACAACTAAACTTATCCTTGCTCGTAAACCGACCTGAGAGAAACCTTCACGTATACGAAATAAAGCAGAGAAGAAGTCAAGCATTAAATCTCGTCCTTTCACTCGAAAATATTACTAAAATAAGTTCAGATAACTTGAAAAAAATTGGAATGAACTGACTCAGAAATCTAATTACCTGAGCAACTGTCTTTCCTTTAGCAATTGCAATCTCTTTCAGCACTTGAGAATCCATGACTCTGTTAGTTCCCCAAACTACTCCTTTGGCTCCCAACGGCGAGTAAGCTGTTATATGGATGCCCTTTTCCTCACAGAACTCTCTCAGCTTCTTCTGTTGCCAAACTGGGTTCATCTCCACCTAACCAAAATATCAAACACGCGTGTTTATTCAGCTATATCAACACTAGAAACATAAAACTTTTGTTAAAGAATTGACTTCTAACTTGATTGACAGCCGGAAGGATTTTTGCAGAAGCAAGTAATTTCTCAAGCTTCTTGCAGGAAAAGTTGCTGACTCCTATGGATTTCGTAAGTCCAAGCTTTTGACACTCCTCCATGGCCTCCCACACAGACTCTATATCCATCTCCACAATGTCTTCTGTTTTAAATGGAAACCCTGTGCCCGGTTTCACGCTTCCCGGAAAATGAATGAGATATAGATCGAGATACTCCAACCCAAGATTCCTACAATGAAACAAAAAATTAAAAATTTTCACATAAAAATAGTCTCTTAATTAATGTTTGGCCTGATTACATTACTCGAGACTGTTTTTTATTGCAGGGACAACAAGGTCAAGGTGTGCATCGCCGCTCCAAAGCTTTGAAGTGATGAAAAGCTCATCGCGTGATGTGATGAGCCCAAGATGTAAAGCTTCGGCTATGGCTTCGCCAAGAGATTGCTCGGTCTGATAGAGTGCAGCAGTATCAAAATGTCTGTAGCCGAGTTGAATTGCATGGAGAACATATTTTTTTACAGATTCAGTTGAGTTGAAAGGAAATTCAGCGGTGCCAAAGCCTACAAGAGGAATGGTTCTACCATTTGAGGTTAAGGTAGCTACTGGAACAGTCACCATTTTTTCTAAAGATTTGAGGCTAAGGCTGCTACTAGAGGAAGTTCTGTGGCTTGAATTTCTCTAATACGATCGATGGCTTTATATGAGAACCACAAGTAGAGAAAAGATGAGTACAATAGGTGACTTGTGGATTTATTGCCACGATGATAGTGACTTTTGGTACCTATGTAGGCTTGTAGCTATTTAAGATATAAGGTCAATATCAGTAATATGTAATTTTCGTTTTACTTTATTTTCTAATCATGTGCATTATTGAGAATTTAAAAGGGAAACGTAATATTGGCTTCATTAACACATCTTTCTTCTTATTTCTGATGAATTTATGGTACATATATGAACAAAATTTATGGTATCGATAATATGTATTTTATGGAATTTTATTAAATTTGATTTAATGATTTTTGGCGGGTTAAAGTGTTAGATTTTGAAAGTTTTTGGGAGTAAAGAATGTCTGAAACAAGTGAGGACTAAAGGAAAATTTATTAGATATGCTGATGAACAGTAATCGCTTGAAAGAGAGAAAAGAAGAAGAGAGAGAAATAAAACCGAGAAGAGAGAGAGGAAAGGGCCAAGAGAATGTGATGGTGGTGGCTGGAAAGAGAGATTGTCGACGAAAAAATTTCGGCGATCGGAGAGAGTGAAGGAAGATTTAGCAAAATGGTGATGGGGAGAATTTGCATGGAGAGTCCATTGGATTTAGAATCAAAAGGACAAGCAGGGGGTGCCATGAGAGGATTCTAATCTTTCTTCGGATCACAGTTTTTTAGCTTCAAAAGGTGAGTGGATTAGTAATTGCATTAACAAATCCATGCATCATCATAATGTTGATTTTATAATATATTTGAGTCATGGGAATATCATGTCTAGTTTGGAATAAATTGCTAATATGCATTTTGTATACTTGTGGAGTATGAGCTTCGGCAAAGTGATGATCTATGGGAGGTTTGTATGTGTAGACTTTGAATGTTTAATTGTCTATGACCCTTTCCTTCTGCTGGAAATTGGATATTAATTTGGAATCTGCAGGTCTGATTATTTTGGGTTGTGTGGGTGTACTGTGCATGGGATGTTTTTACTAAAATATTGGCGTTTTGTAATCAACTTGGTCGTTGCGTTGGAAAGAGATCCCGTAAATGGGTGGGCTGGTTGGTTAAATTAGATAATGAGGCCCAATTATTTTGATTTGGGTTATTAGACTTAAATTATAATTAGTGGGCTTGATAGTGTTGATGGGTTTTTGGGTATTATTGCTTAAGTAGGCCGGCCTATAAATGTTGAGCCCAAATTACATTGGTTGGGTTTTGAGTTCAATTAATTGGTGGGCTGGCGTATTAAGAATGATGAGGTCCAGTTGCTTTGTTTTGAAATGGATTGTAAATAGTGGCATGGGTTTTTAGTAGATCTGACAAAACAGGTGGGTGAGTCGGGTCCAAAAAGGCGTGGGTCTTATTAGTACGTGTTCAAAAAGGGTCGATTTAAATGGACCCAAAATATTAGACCTGCATTCTACTCTATGCGAGTACGAGTGAACCTGCAGGTACCCGCATAAGTTATTCTAGTTTTCAATTCTTGCAATGACACCCCCAAAATTTCTGTAGTTTTAATATTTTACAGTTACACCCCCACAATCAACTAAATTCAAATTCAATTACTCCAAATATACTCCAACGTCAGTCCAACGATCTCATTCTTGGAGTTTAGTTTTTTTAAAAACTTAAAAGTTTCATTAGGTGAAGCCAGAAACCTCTGATTAATAATACTTCCACTAAAAAAAAAAAAAAAAAAAAAAAAATGTTCTGATTTTTGCAGCTTCAACTTTTATAAGTTACTTTCTTTCTCTAATCCCTATTAGCAAATCATGAACAAAATCTTATACATTTGTTACAATATGATGACTTCTATGATAATCATGAATCAATAACACATCTTGTATACAATACGAAATTGCAAACAACAAAGTAGTTTAGAGCTAAAAGATAAAAGAAGAAATTGGAAATAGTCCAGGCCACCTATGCACCTCTCATTACGTGGAGAATTCAAAGACAGTAATATTATGGAATCAAATCAAATTATTCAAATTATATTATGAAAAAAAAATACGGGTGTTTCATTACAAGTCAAATTATTCAATTTTGAATTTGAAACCATTAATCATATTAATTATGTAATTAAATGATGATAAGATTGACATGATATAGTGCAATACTCTAGATTTCTCCATCCCAAAACTCCTCAATGGACTTGTAAGGACCTTCTTCTGATACCGCAAAATCAGCAGGATTTCCTCTTACTTGTGGAATATGCGCTATCTTGTGTAGCTCTTCTTCACTTAAACTTCCAGTCAAAGATATCCAGGTTCTCTTTCATTCTTCCTTCATCAAAGCTCTTCACAACTAAACTTACTCCTTGCTCGTGAACCCACCTTAGAGAAACCTTCACATGCACCAAAATACCCCTCAAAACTCCAAAAAAAGAAAAAAAAAGAAAAAAAAAGAAAAAAAAAGAAAAAAAAAACATATAATTGATTTTTATAATCCAAAATTATTAGTTAATTACCAATTAACTATTGTATTCTTCCATTAAATCATTGATGCTATTTGAAGATCAATCTTTTCCACTATTCTACTATAAATCGAAACAATTACCTGAGCAGCTGACTTCCTTCTACTGCTAGCAATCTCTTTGAGCACTTCAGAGTCCAAGACACGGTCAGTTCCCCATGGAGTTCCCTTTGCTCCCAATGGCGAGTAAGCTGTTACATGAATACCCTTTTTCTTACAGAACTCTCTCAGCTTCTTTTGCTGCCAAACCGGATTCATCTCCACCTTTAAAGAAAATATATTAATTGACTAACTGATGAAACAAAGTTAATTTGGTGAAAGAATTAATTGACTAACTTGATCAACAGCAGGAGGGATTTTAGCGGTGGCTAGTAATTTCTCAAGCTTCTTGACCGAAAAGTTTCCGACCCCTATTGATTTGGTAAGACCAAGCTTTTGACACTCCTCCATGGCCTCCCAAACAGATTTCAAATCTATTGGAAGAATCTCCTTTTTTTCAAATGGAAACCCCGTGTTCGGTGTCAATCTGAACGGAAAATGAACGAGATAAAGATCAAGGTAATCCAACCCCAGATTCCTGCATTCAACAAAATATTAGACTAAGAGATAAAAAAGTTAGGAAAATTTTTAAATATCATTAATTGCTTGGCTACATTACTTGAGAGTGTTCTTAATTGCCGGGAGGACAAGATCACGGTGAGCATTGCTGGCCCAAAGCTTTGAAGTGATAAAAAGCTCATCGCGCGATTTGATGAGGCCAAGACGTAAAGCTTCAACTATGGCTTCGCCAAGAGCTTGCTCGGTGCCGTAGAGTGCGGCTGTATCAAAATGTCTGTAGCCGAGTTGAATTGCATGGAGAGCAGCTTGTTTTGCGGTGTCACGAGTTGAGTTGAAAGGAAATTCAGCTGTTCCCAACCCAACAAGGGGAATTGTTTCACCATTTGAGGCTAACGACGCCAATGGAGCTGTCACCATTTTTCACAAGAACCTTCACAAATGTGTGATGGGGTTGAAGAAGCCCTTATAATAGAGAGAGATTTATCAATGCATAAATCGATATCCAATAAAATATTCATATAATAGTTAGAGAGTAACATGGGTACATGTGATTTCTTGTGTGAACAGATCGTAAGTTCTGATTTAAAGAATGATAAAGAATTGTTGACATCATTAAGGAAATCAAAACTGAAATCATACAGGCCATTGAAAAATAATGTAAAACAACCAACCCAGCAATCTTGAAGAATCAGATTTCTACCTAGATGTTTGAGAGTGAGCTGGGTTGTATCCAATGCATTAATGTGAGTCATGAAAATTAATTTAATGCTAACAATGAGCTAATAAATTAAAGAGTAAACCAGTGTTTTAAAACCCAAAGTTCTTGACCTGGTCAAGGCCCTAGGTCTCGGTTGATCGGTCCGATCAGTTTAATCAACGGGTTGTTAGAGTTGAATGAATCATTATGATGTAATAAAAAGAATTTAAGTTCTAAAAATTAAAGGGCTTAAATATAATTTTAGAAAATAAAAAAATTACATTAAAACTTTGAAATAAATTGTTAATAACAAGGCAATAGATAGATTAAAGACAGCTAATAAATTAAATTGAAAAAAAAAAAAAAATTGAGAGGAGGTCAAACTTTGAACTTGAATGAAAAAAAAAATGAATGAAAAAAAAAAAAAATATTAAAGTAATTTGAAATGACTAAAATAGAATTTTAATTAAATAAATAGAAATAAAATAAAATAATGTAATATTCACATCTAATAAATAAAAATTAATAATTAATATAAATATACAAAAACGTGAAGAAGAGAATCTCTAAATCTATCCTATCCTATCCTTATCCCATCCCGTTTTGTCCCAAAAAATCACAACCCATTCCTTCTTGCAAACACATCTTTATCGGGTGTTTGTCTGAGTTTAGAAAAATTAACTTAGCTAAAATTAACTTATCAGTATTTAAAATTTTAAGCAATTACGCATTTGATTAAAATACTTATAAGTGACTGATAAGTATTTAACGGGTTTAGTAAAATATAGTTATAAGTACATTTATTATAAAATTACTAAAATGTACTACATTAAACAAGGGTATACTATGAAATTTTAAAATTAAACAAGGATAATGTGGATAATATACATAGTTTAAACTAGCTTTAAGCAAAGTGCTTATAAGCTTAAAAAAAAAAAATACCCTCTCCCTAACTTATTTTTTTTTTTCTTATAAACTCAACAAAATTATAACAAACAAGTTAGTTTAATTTTAGGCTTATAGCAAGTTTGACAGCTTATAAGCTTAGACAAAACACCTCATGTCTCACATCGGATCACAAACTACTCTCCTCTATCCCCATTTCAATTATCACACAAACATCACCAATCCACAATTCTAATCACATCATCATCGAAAATCTCAATATAATCATAATCAAAATCAATGGAGAACCTCATCAATCCTTATACACACAACAGCTATATTCAAGTCTTAGAAATGGTGTATTCAAGTTCTCACTTCTTATAATCAACACAGCTTCAACAGCAATAAAATACAAGTTTTCGAAATTGACAACACAATGAACACATGGTGAGAACCGAGATAAAGTGAATCAAGATAAAATTAACCACAAACCCGACGAACGACGATTGTAGTGCGGCCGGCAGTGGACAATTTTGGCACACAAGGTGGCCGAAGTTTTATTGTAGATGTTGACTGCAAAATTGAAAAATGGAAGGGTTTTACAATTTATCAGGTAGGAGTGCATTAACCTGGTTGACACAAAACCAATTGGACTGGTGGGTTGCAGTAACCCCGGTCCAACAAGGGTATTCGGCAAATACTATCCCCGATTATGGTGACTCAGCCCGGTTGGGCGACGCTGGGTTGTAAAAAATTGGAGTAAACGAATGTTCCCTATCCAGGTTTAATGAAATCTCAGGTTGGTACCGATTTCATAAATTCTGGATTTCCACCCTAAATGGACGACCTTAGTGAAGAATGGGTGTGATAGGGACAGAGGGTTCTTTTACCAAATACCCTTGGACCTTCTTCTTCTTCTCTCCCTCCTCTTCTTCACAACCCATTCCAAATGAAATCTAATTTGAAGTGATCAAAAGCTAACTCATCTGGTGCTTGATGAGCCCAGAAAAGATTTGACTCTTTAATTACATAGTTTGTGAATAAACATGCAGACACACCCTAATTCTTAAATAATATATATATATAATATATATATATATATTATATTTTGGGGATCAGGATTTTTGCCTGAGGGATACTATTGTTGTTTAATAATTAGTGAAAATTTAAAAAAATTACTAAGCAAATAAAAAATACAAATTAAAACCTGAAAGAAAAGAAGCAATAACACCATATTTTTCTGCTTGAATAAATTTAAAGAAGCAAAAATTTGGTAAATGTGTGCGAGTAAACCTTGAGCACAAACTTTTTTTTAATTTTTTTTTTTTTTTACTTTTGGCTTCCAAGATTATAATATAATTTTATGACTTTGATTAAACATAGCCTAAGCTCAAGTTAACTGAAATTTAGATCAAGTCAACGTTGCGTTGCTTTTAATATAAAATAATAAAAAAAAGGGGAAATTTCTGGTATAAACATAGATAGTAACTCAATTTTTTTTAATAATTTTAAGTAGTTAACAATTACGTTTGAAATATAAGAAAGTGATAGGTGAAGGGTAAAGAATAACGTCCAACAAAATATAGTTAATGTTTAATTGGGAAAGCAAGAACATTCTAAGATACAAAACACAAAAAAACTCACAAGATCTGTTCCTTTTTCCATTAATAAAATAAAAAACCTAAAAAAAAACAAGCATTATTCAACTTAAAATAAACTAAATTGAAATAGGCAATATAATTGTGATACTTTAAGTAGTGAAAACTTTGACAATGTCAGTCTTCAAAAGTTTTAAAAGTGAATAGCATAGAAAGAGAAAGAAAGAATGAGAAAGTAAAATTTTGGGGATAAATTATAAAAAGTATGTGGAGCCGTGGAGAAGAGTGGAGAGAGTTTTAAACTTTAATATGATGTGGGTTTGGTATATATATATTAATAGCAAATTTTTTGTAGCCTAAATATATGTATAAAAGTTCTCATTTTTTTTTAAAATCTAAAGATAGATTGGGTAATAATTAATAGCAATTTGTGGGGCATATATATAGTAATTTTTTTTTTTAAAATTGAGTCCTACCCTCAAAGAGGTTGGATCCACTATATGCGGTATTGTTGATTTTATTATTATGGCATCATAATAACTAAGAGTAATGCTACAGGTACCGATAGGGGTGGGATAAACCGGTTAACCGAACTGGTTTATCCAAACCGAAAACCGAAACTGTTTTCAGTTTGGAGAAAAGCCAAAACCGAAAACCGAACGGGTTCGGTTAAAACTGAATGTGAACCGAACCGAATTTTCGGTTCGTTTACACGGTTAACCGTTTTCAAAGCGGTTTTCAAATTACCCTTTATACTTAAAATTCTTCAATGTTTCACTTAAGTCCCTAAATTCAAATATTATTTTTATATATAATTCATACTATGTTTCTCTTTTATTTGTATTATTGTGTATTCTTTATATGAAAAATACATTAAATTACTATTTGCAGATACTGAATCCAGAATATGAAATAAAAAACATAAAGAATTCAATTCACCATTATAAATAGTCAATATCATAAATAAACTCAAATAATAATAAAATTACAAAGTAAAAAAATTAATATGACATAAATCATCTTCATCCCACAATGTTGGTGTAGTGGAGGTTCTTGATTCGCACTCCCTGGATTTGTTAAGGCAGTACTGTAGGGCACACGAAGAAGATCATATCTGCAATTAACAACTAAATTAATAAATGAAAATAATAAAACATATGAATAATTATTTCTCTATCAATTTCTCTCCTTTCAACTTGGCAAAACCTTCTTCCTACTAATATTTTTTCAATATATTCTTGCTCCAATCTAACAAATCTAACAAATCATTTTCAAATTATATTCTTTTCGATCTAACAAATCACACAAATAAACAATTACAACATAGTTCAGAACTAATTAAAAATAAATTTCTAAAGTTCATTTAATAACATGATAAAGATGCCATATCAATATAAACAAACAGTCATAACCAGTACTTATTACTGTGGTGTAGACACTTGGGAATTTCATTTCATCTGTTTGTAAATCAAATACTGCTAAGCATTTCAACTTTACTTTTCTGGAAATTATTCTTTCACTTTATTCTCACAGGGTTTTTCACTTTTCACACTAATGCGTGTCCTACAGATCATTTCTTCAAACTAATTAATATTCTAATTTATTCTCTCTTGCTTTTCTTCAGGTTTTCCTAAGATTTCACTTACTATATTCACAATTTTCTCCTGGAGCTCTTTTGAACTTTTTCTTAATTTCTTCCATGTTTTAGTTCCCCGTTACACAAAGATTTTGACTTTTTTTTCTCTGGGAATCATATAAGAGGCTCATGATCATAATTTTGTAAAGTACTTCTTGCAATGACTTATGCATTGTTCAATCCATTTTAAAGATGGGTATTTTCTAACTGTATCGAATTTTGGTCTCTATAGTTTCTCTTCACCAAGCGAAAAAAACGTTGATATTAATTCCTCTAGAATCCCAGTATAAACAAAACAAACAAAACTTCAGCAACATGTAAGTAAATGCTTGCAAAAGGCATGTTACATAGCCAACATGTAATGTAAGGTACAAGGATATTTTAGCCATTGCAAATGGACCATCACTTGACACAGTTCAAATCAAGATTCAAGAGGTATCCACAGTTCAATAGCATGGCATATAAATAATAAAGTTCAAATAAGATTCAAGAGTATGCTCACGGTGGGTCTGCTCATGGCTTAGTGCTCACGGTGGAGTTCTTCAGGGTGGGTCTGCTCAAGCCTCACGGTGGAGTCTGCTCAGCCTCACGGTGGCTTGACTGGAGAGTGGATCTGTTGACTGTGAACGTGAAGCTCGGCAGATCGAAGCTTGGAGAGAAGACTTTGTTCACGATGGGACAATGGCGTGACTCTGCGGAGTGCTGGGTGCTAGCGAACGACAAACATCTCACAGTGTGGATGGGTGATGGCGAAAAGACGATTGACGAAGATGAAGTACAGAGATTTGAATTTTGAAATTTTAGATTTGGTGACTGGAGGGAGAGAGTGAAAGACGAAGTGGATGGCGCTGCTGTAGCGGGATGCATGGAATAAAATTTTTTTTTTGCTTTTATATGTAGGGTAAAACCGGTTTAAAACTGGTTTTCGGTTAATTAGTTTGCAATTTTTTCAAACTGAATGGTTTTTTTCGGTTTTTGAATT